GAAAATAAAAAGGTTGAAACCTATGCATCAAGATTTAAGAAGTTAGCAAATAGAGTAGATGCAGGAGGAATTCCAGATGCCTTTAAAATACGAATATTCTTAAGTGGATTGAATAAGGAATTGGCAACCTTAGTCACAATTCAAAATCCAGCTAATTTAGATGCCGCTATTACTCAAGCTAAAACTGTCGAAGTAAAAAGATATTATGCAATAGATCACGACTTTAGTAAGCCAAAAGTTAAAGATGACATTGAAAAATTATCCAAATAATTTGAACAAATGGCTTTGAACTAAGTAAACATTATGGCCACATTGATTACTAATCCAGCTGAAGAAAAAGTTATAACCCTGAAGGCAAACTAAGGAAGGAATTAATCTGTTTCAGATGTGGAGAAAAAGGTCATATAACCAGACGATGTCTTTTAGAAAAAGTTTTACCATAAAATAATTGGAGAACTAGAAACGGAGATCAAAATAGAAAGGAAGTAAATATGTTTGAACAAGAAGTCTTTCTAGTGATTAAGAGGAAAAGATCTGAATTGCAAAGAGAAACTAATATCAGACGAACTCGATCTCAAACAATTAATGAACCAATGGAAATAATTGAACAAATACCCCAAACAGTGGTAGATAATACTACTAAGCCTAGGAAGAGAATACCTAGAAGACCATCACTTTTGAATAATATTGAATCTTATAACATTTAGGACAATCTTGTAAACATTAAAGCTAATGTTAATATTAAACAAATGATACAATTCAGAGTGCAGTAACAAAAACTCCTTCAAGGAATGAGAAAACCTAAATTAGAAGGAAATGCAGCATTTACTAGCACTTCAAAAGAAGAAGAACGAACTATGACATTAAGATATCATGTTAAAATTAAGAAAAACCCTATAACTGTTATCATCGATACAGGAGTTGCAGTAAGCATAATTATGCACAAGTTAATGAAGAAACTTGGACTAAACATTGATGAACCTTCACAAATAATCATTGTAATTGCAAATGGACAAAAGAAAGAGCACTAGGAACTATTAAAAATATGCCATTAATCATTCAAGGAATTTTCATCAAAACTACATTTCAAGTTATTGATTCGACTGATCAAACCTTATTGTTAGGAATCGATTGATGCAAGAAAAACAAAGTTAATGTTGACTTTGAGAATAATGAAATGATTCTTACCTCTGGATTGGATAAAGCCATAGTTCCAGTACAATATGTAGTTGGAAAAAGAATTCGAGCCATAACCATTGAAGATAAACTTGATAAAATAATTGAGCAAGGATTAGAATATGACGACGAAGAAGAAACAGATAGCTATGTCGTTGAGATTGAAAAATAAGAAGAAGATACTGACTTTTGGAATCAAGCCTGGGAGAAAAACTCAATTCAATCTTGGGCTGATGAAGTAGAAGCATATGAAGAAGAAGTTAACCACCCCAAATATGTACTAAATATTTTGTATGATAAAGATGGTGTATTTCTCTCAATCAGAAAAGGAGAAGTCATGTATGGAATGTGGCAATCTCCTGGAGGAAAAGTAGAAGGGAATGAGAATCCAATGAAAGCAGCAGTACGAGAAACTGAAGAAGAAACTGGAGTAAAAGTCAAGGAAGAAGACTTGGAATATTTATTCAATGACTCAGAATTCAATTGTAATGTATACGCAACAAAGATTCCTAAAGGAACTAGGTTGGAACAAACTGAAGAAGATAAAAATGGATTCTGGATTTGTTTCAGTTTTCTAAAATATGAAGAGATAGCTAAACAAGGAAAAACTACCCCAACTCATACGACGTTTATCAACGAAATATTGGATCGAATCATATGGAATAACTTGCCTAATAGTCTTGCAGAAACTATGCAAGCGGAAACTGTAAAAGAAAAAGTTGTAACTCCAAAGCAACAAAAAGAAATTGATGTTTTAATGGAGGAAAATAAAGATAGATTCGTTACTAATATCTCTGAAACTGGACAATCGACTAGAGTTGGAAGAACCAATGTAGCTCGCCACAAAATCGATATAAGAAATGCCGATTCCATCAGGAGAAATTACTATCGAACAACAAAGGAAGAACAAGAATTTATCGATGGAGAAATTAAGAAGATGTTATGTGAAGGAATTATTCAAGCATCTGATAGTCTATGGACATTATCTGCAATTCTTATGAAGAAAGCAAACAGAAAGAAAAGACTATGCATCGATTATAGAGGATTCAACAAACTCACAAGAGAAGATGCTTATCCTTTGCCTAGAATTGATGAAATTTTGAAAAACTTAAATGGAGCAAAATGGTTCTCAACATTCAACCTAGCTAGTGGATTCTGGCAGATTGAAATGAATCCTAAGGATAGAGAAAAAACTGCATTTGTGATTAAAGGTGGACATTATGAATTCAATGTTATGCCTTTTGGTCTATACAACGCCCTAATAACCTTTCAGAAAATGATGAACAAAGTATTAGAGGAGTATATCGACCGATTTGTAGCAGTCTTTATTGATAATATTATTGTCTATTCAAACAGTTTTGAAGAATATTGTGGATACCTTCAAATGCTCTTTCACAAGTTGAAAAAGGCAAATCTTGCGTTAAACAAGAAAAAGTGTGAAATGTTCAAAAGAGAATTACGATTTTTAGGACATAAAATTAATGAATATGGAATCCTACCAGACCCTCAAAAAATAAAGAAAGTTCAAGAATTCCCTGTGCCAAAGAATATGAGACAAATTAAAGGATTTCTTGGATTGGCATCATATTATCAAAAATTTATCAAGGATTTCTCAAAAATTGCCAAACCTTTGAATAACTTGACAAAGAAAGGAGTTGAATATGACTGGACCAATGAATGTCAA